TGATTTGGTAGCGTAAGTCTGAGGATAAGATGTCGCTCAGAGCGGTTGCGAGTTTGCAATCGATGCTCTCAAAGTCTCCACTGTCTTGTAAATCCTCGAATGTACATTCGGGCTGTTCTGCCACGCATAGGAAGGCGTATGCTTTGGATGGTCGCCCTGAGGCGGCCCCGAAGTTCTTTCGCACTCTTTGCTGCCATCCCAGCAGCTGCGTGATCTTAGGCAAGACAGGTACTCGAACGGTGTCTGACTCCTTGATAGGCGTCGTTGTATGTACCGACACCGCAGACACTGGTTGTGAGGGTATCGGTGCACCGTCGATGGTTGGTTCTGTGCGCACAGGAGACACATGCCGTGTCTGTGCAGAAACTGCCGCGGAGGCTGCTCCTGGAGATGTACGTCGTTGTTGTCCTGCTGAAGCTTGTGGTGCTTCGGCGGACGCTGCCGTCGGCCTGTGCGGGTCGGCTGCAGGTCGAAGGTGAATGTTGGTGTCGTTAGTGTGGTCGATCAGCTGATTCGTCCAGCTCGTCATGTCTTCTTGTCTTTGACCCACCTTTTGGCGTGTGTACTCATCAGTATCCCGAGAACGTTGTGAATACCGATCAAGTCGATGCTCGCATGCTCGGAGACGGGCGCTTTGTGCCTCCACTTCGCTTTCCAGACGTGCGAGGTAACTCTCTACACGTACCTTCTCAGTATCTCTTTCATGAATAACCTGGGAGAGCTCTAACTGCGCGTGGCCCGCCGCCTTCTCAACCTCCTGCAACCTGTCAGTGAGGCGGGCGAAATCGTAAACCGTGGGAGGATAATCCAGCTGATCAGTCTGGGCTCGTCCGACACGCAACTCTGCCAGGGCGTCCTGTACACCAGGGAAACGCTGCTCTATGTCAGAGATCCGGTTAGCGAGTGGCTGCACGACAGCGTTGGTCGCATCAAGCCTTTGAGTGATGACTCTCTCAGTACGTTGCAACATGTCGATCAGGTTCGACGAGTTTGTGTGTGCTTCGGTACGAAGCGTCGCCGTAGTGTGGTCTAGGTAAGATCGAAGATCTTTGATCTGAGACTGAACGTCGCCGAGGTCTGTGGCCTCGGTTGGGGTTGGTCGGTTACGGAGCTGGTCGTGGATCTCATCGTGTAAAATCCTGACCGCAGAAATGCCTGTGTCGCGTACGATCACAAGTTGTTGCTCCATCTGCGCGAGATAGTTGCGCAGGTTCTCGACCATCGCCGTTCGTTCACCTGATTGTGACACCTCACGATCAACCTGGTACTGCAGTTCTCCTATGATGCGTCTATCTTCGGCGATCCTGGAATCGATGATCCCTAAGGCGCCGTCAAGATCGCGGCGTATGGCTGCAGTATCCGTGGCATTCGTCTGAACGCTCTGTAGTAGTCCAGAGTTTTGGCTGGACACGAAGGTTTCAACCTGGTCTCTGAGCTCAGCTATGTCACCTGCGGCGGACGTCTCCGCCGGCTGGTCGTCTGAGATGGAGAGGTGGGGAGCGTCAGCTTCCCTGTGTCCCCTGTCGCGGGGAGTGCATGGCCTCTGAGAGGAAGTACGCGGGCTCGACCTGCGCTCGCCGCATGGGCCTGGGGCTCCACGGCGGTTGCGCGCGGACGAGCTGCGACTCGGACCATGTGTGTGTGATGTCTCATCCGATGATACCTTGGGGTACCGCGTCTGTGGCTGTGCCGACACTGGTCTACTGAGTTCCTCGAAGGTAGCTACGTGCTCCGCCACAGGGACGGTCGCAAGGCTGGGGGTTCCAGCACCTGAGGTCCATCGGCGGTTAGCGCGGAAGCGCCCTGGAGTATCGAGACCGGCAAGGCTTTCGCCTGACGCGGTTGGGATTGCCCCCGACGGGGAAGGGGAGGGAGGATCAAAGGTCGGCGTGTGGAACTCCTTCCTTCCTGTTCCTACTCCTTCTCCTGTCCCCCCGCGGGCGGCGCTGCGGCGAAGTTCAGCAGCTAGACGCGCCTCGGGTCCTCGGGAGCTGGGGGGGGGGGTATCGGGGACACCAACACAGTCCGCATTAATGCTCTCCAACTCGTCACCGAGCCGTCGCACCGTGGGAGAGCTTGGACGCGAAGCCCCACTGGAACCCTTACGGCGCATGCGCCGAAGCGGCTCCATTGGGCTCGCATGCAAGGTCACCGCGGGCGAGTCGGTGAAGGTGAGCGTTAAAGGGCTGATAACCTGTGTATGGGGTTGAAGTACAAGAGTACAGAACCCCTGATCCGTTGGTAGAGAGATGGAGGGATAGATGGATAGCTTTCCCTCCCAAGCGATCAAGGTACGATCGCTCCAACTCAGTACCTGAGCCCAAACGGCCAGGTGCGGGAGAGGTAAGGATAAGGAGTATATATGAGGGTATTACACGGGTTCCATACACAAGCTCCTCCGTGGGGATCTCCCCCTTGATCAGCGCGATAATCTGAGGCTTGGTCTTGACAGAGACCGATGACTTGATGCCGTTCTGCTTCATCCTCCAGACAGCCTCGCTGGGCTCTACCGCCACGCGGTCGTGGAGGCGGTCCCCCAGCTCGATCACCTTCACCCACGCGTCGGCCATGTTGTCCGACTTGGCGAAGAGACTCCGCAAGAGGTCCCTGGACGCGCCGCCGGCCTGGTCGAGCTTCTCAGCGAACTCCACCCCGCGCTCGCAGAAGCCGTGCGCTTCAGGCGACACATCGGCCCGCATCTCGGCGACTACCTTCCGCAGCAAGAGATTCGAGTACATGAAGCGCGCGAAGTGTGACCATTCCAAGGCGGCCTCAGTCTTCCAGAGGCTCTCGGCGAAGGCCGCCACTGCGGGGTCCACCGCCTCGAGGAAGAGCGCCCACTCTGACCGATCGGGCTGCTTCGCCTGCTCCTCACGAACCTGCTTCACCTTCTCCGCGTCCTTGCGAACAGCCCCAAGCAGCCGCAACAATAGACCAGACAGCTTGAAGAAGTTCGCGGGCACCGTGGAGTCGACAATCTTCATGGCCATGTCCACGAAGGTCGAGGAGATGGCAGGCCCGCCCCCCTTCGCAAACTCGCCGCGGTTCTGGCTCTGCTGGGTCGCCTTCACAGCCTTAAGGACATGGCCGTTCATGCGCGTGAACGCGACGTGCGTTGCCTTGATCTCGTCCGAATGCTCGCAGAAAGGGTTGTCGTTCATGAACTCGCGCAGCGCCGACTTCAGCCTGTTTCTCATCTTCATGTCGTTGCCGATGATCGCCAAGATGGCGGCAGCGGAGGTGGCCACCTCGTCACCGTCGTCATCCGCAGCGCCGACCTCCTGGTGGTCGCGGCCGTCGCGGCCATCGCCATCAGCAGCTGCGTCTCTGCATTCTAGCCCGTGCACCGCCCGCAGGTGAGTGTAGATGCGAGGCCGAAGCTGGGACCACTTGGCGAACTTCTCGCGGGTCACCTCCACGCCACCGTCGCCGTTCAGGCTGAAGGCGAACTCCAAGGGCCCATCGCTCTGATCCTTGACGCCGAGTCTGCAGCCGTAGCGCAGCATCTGCGCCATCTGCACGCCGCCCCTCTGGTCGGGGGGCGCCTCGCGCACAGCGTGGAAGATGATGTTGATGACATCGTCAAGGTAGAGCGTCGCGCGGCTGCCTGCCTTCGGCTTAACGGAAGCAGAGCAAGCGGCAGCGGCCTGCGGGGGCCCTGGAAATCCACGCATCCATGCAGGCGCGCACGCAGCCCGCGGGCAGGACGAGCTACAAACCACAAACCCCCAAACCTCGTCAAACCCAGTTCAAGCCCAGTGCTTGGGTGCTTGGGCCGGCGGGGCCGAGGGGCCCGCGGATTGCGAGACTCCTGCCCGCGACAGTGCGCTGCAGATGCATGGATGCATGGTTCGCCAGGGCTGCCCCGATGCACCTTCTTTTTCGACGCTGCCTTGCCCTTGGCGCCCTTGGACTTGGCCTTCGGGCTCGCCGCCTTCATCCGAATCGTCTTCCTCGACGGGGTCAAGTCAAGGGCGTCCTTGAACACCTTGGAGGTGGCCATGGGGGTGAACAGCCTCGTCAACACTTTGCAGTCCTTGGGGGTCTTGAAGAGCCACCTCACGTCATTGTCTGGGTGGTTAGTCATCTCCGCATCCCAAACGTCGCGCTCAGCCTCATCCCTCTCGAAGACAGATGGGACCGCGTATTTCAACATCTCGGCCATGGCCTCGTTGAAGGCGCCCTTGTACTCAGCCTTGTTGAAGTAACTCTGGATAGTCTGGAACACCCCGAACACCTGAGTCGACCTGAGTAGTTCGGATTGTTTTTTGTTGCAAGGAGAAGGCAAGGGGATCGGAAAGCATCTGTCACCGTTTTGTGGCCGACAGACCGACCAACGGCAACGCCGCCGCCCGCTGCCATGGGCCGCGTGCCATCTAGCGGGCTACCCGAGATCACAACACCACAACATCAAAACGATCACAGCCATCACAGCCGATCCGATCCGATCGACTTGGTAGAACCCTAAAACCCACATCGGGCCCCAGGGTCCGAAGACTAATCCGACAACGACCCGCGACCCGACCGATCTGACATAATGACAGAATCCTAAAACCACATCTGGAGGATCCAAGAATTCAGCAAACTGATCCGACCAAAAGGGCCAAAACGAAATCGGGCAACTTAGGCATGGGCTTCATTGACGAGTCCTCGAACGCGACGCAGTCCCCCCACCAGTCGGTAATCTTCTCCCAGACGCCCATGGCATCAACCTTCGTGCGAAAAATGTTCGCCTTCTTGAATTCCTCCCTGGACTGGAACACGTCGCCGTAGTGGTCCTGAATGAACTTGCTGTACGCAGTGTAGAAGCCCGACTGGCTCCTCTTGCCGCCGCCTGTGGGAGGGCGAGCAAGCGACGCTCGGGCCAAGCCGACGGGGGCATAGGCCGAAAAAGGGCCGAAGAGGAGGCGGGAGGACGGGGACAGGGGGGGGGCAGGAGGATGGAGTGGCCGTACCCCCATCCATCGATCGTTGGCCACGCTCCCCACGCTCCCTCAGGCCTTCTTCGCAGTCGCCCTCCGCCTCCTCATCCTCGGCCTCCTCGCCAGCCTCGCCAGGGTCTTCGGCGTCGGCTTCGGCACCGCCTCCCTCGCCCTCCCCGCCCTCGCCTCCATCCTCCTCAGCCTCGCCCTCCCCCTTGCGCTTCTTGCGGAGCGCTGCCCGATGCTGCTGCCAATGGGCCACGACGACGGGCGCGAGCTCGAGCTTCTCGAAGAAGCTCGCGGTGCTGCCGATGGCCACCAGCTTATTGCATTGCACTCTGATCCAGTACAGCGCGCCAGGGGGCGTGTTCGGATTGAGGAGCTGGACGCGGGGCACCTGGGCGGGGAGGGGAGAGGGGAGGGGAGGGGGGCAGCGTAGAGAGCGCGAGAAGGAGGTGGTGAGGAGGTGAGGATGAGCCCAAGGTCGCAAAATCAAATGCAATGCATGTAATGCCGCAACGACCCAACCCCCTCCGCGATCGAATTAGCATTCCCGTGCACCTGGTGGTCGATCATCGATAAGACCTGCTCGTTCTTCGGGGCGTCCTTGATGGCGTTGTAGCAAGCGTCCAGCAAGGTGGCCCCACCGAGCACCCTCAGGATCCACTTGCTGGGGTCAAGGCAAGTGGGCTGAACGACGATATCTCCCGCCCTATCAGACCAAGACACGCCCTGTTTGAGAATCAACTTCTTGTAGTGCCGCATTGTCCCCCGCTGGCGCCGCTGATTAAGTGGGTGCCTGATGAAGAGCTTCTCGCCGTCGCTGCCGCCGTCGCGGAAGAATGGCTGCGTGCCACTCCACGGCAACACGTAGTCTTTCACAAACTGGGGGAGGGGGGAGGGGGGGCCGGCAACCACGTCCAAGCAAGCAGGCATTCGGTTCCTCGGCCCAGGGCCAGGGCCCGACCCAGGAGCCCCAGGAGAGCCCAAGCGACTAAGTGGGGATCGGGCGGGCGGGTGGCGGGGGGGGGGAGCGATGACCATGGGAGACAAACTGGGCGACTGGGCGACGGACCCGACGCTAGGAGGTACCGAGGTACCGATGTACCAGGTTTAGGTTAGGTCGAGACTGGAGGATCGCCGATGGGCACCTGTGCTCGAAGGATGGCACCGACCTTGCCTGGGTGGCGCGCCTCGTAGCTGCTGTAAGCCAAGTCGAAGGCCGCGCCCATGGAAGCGTCGCTGACCTGGGGGTGGCGGGGGCGGGGTGCGCTGGGTCTCTCTGAAGAGCGCCGTCCGTGCGGGGTCACGGGGTCACCAGGCGTGCGAGGGGTGCGCCCACGTTCGATGGCGAGGGCATTCGACATCGTTCCCACGGGCACACGGGAGTGCCAAGGGGCCCAGGAAGACCAGACCTGTCCGACGGTCCGACGGGAGCCCCAAGACAGATTCAAGCAAGGCAAGACAGCCCCCCCCCCCCCTGACACTGTGACACTGACACCCCACGAGGCCCCCCCGATCATGATCGCGCCCCTTCAGGACGGTGGGACCGAAGCGACGGGGGGTCAGGATTGGGAGCAATGAAGCCGAAAGCTTGGGATCAGGAGGAGTGGCTATGAGACGGAAGGGAGGAAGGGAGGGGGGCAAGCATTTTAATTCGAACGAATTCTGTCCCGATGTGCCGAGGTGTGCGCGGCTCAAGCCGCGCCCAAAACACTCTTATGTCCAGCGCGCCCAGCGCGGGCCCGTGCGGCCCGTGCGGTACCGTCGTCGCGTCGTCGTCGTCGTCACGTCGCAGTCGTCGTCGTCGCCGTCGCGGTGCTCCTCCTCACCCCCTCACCCCCTCACCGTTCCATCGCTGTCGTTGGGTCGTCGTCGACGTCGTCGGCGTCGCCGTTAGTTAGTATGGCTGGAACTGCTGGAAATTTGCCGCCGTCCGAGCCTGGCGCCCCAAGACATGGCGTCGGCGGCTGCATAACCGCAAAACCTCGCTTAGTGGCTGGCGTCGGGGGAGACATGGCGGAAGCGGCCCTCGAGAGCATCTGTGAGCTCAAGCACGCCGCAAGGGGGTGGCTGGGCGGTGGCGAGTGGGGCTGCTTCGGAGCCGCCCGAGCCGACGGCGTCCCTAAGAAGAGAGCACTCGCTGAGATCCCTGGTAGCATGGTCGGTGTCATGGGGGAGGGCGCGCGTGAAAGGGAACACAGGACGGCGTTGCCGCCGCCGCCGCCGCCTCCGCCGTCTCCGCAGCCGCTGCCGCCCATGCCGCACATGCCGCCCACGCCGCCGCATGCGCCGCATGCGGGGCCCGCGCCCCAGCCCTCGGCGCCCGCGCCGCCGCCGATGCCGCCGCCCGCGTGGCCCGCGCCCCCGCCGAAGCACGCGCCGCCCATGTCGCGCACGTGCACGTGGCCCGTGCCCTTGCCGCCCGTGCCCTTGCCGCCCTTGAAGCCCTTGAATGGGCCCGTGCCGCCCTTGCCGCCGACGCCACGTCCGCAGCCGCCCTTGCCGCCCGTGCCCGTGCCAATGCCACAGTCCGTGCCACCGCCGCCGCCCGCTCCGCCGCGCGTAGGGCCCTCGGCCGACTCGCCGCCGCCGCCGCAGCCTTGCGTGACCGTGCGCTGAGGCTGAGGCTGAAGCGGCTGCGGCTGCTGCGGCTGCTGCTGAAGCTGAAGCTGGAGATCACGATGCTTGCGAAGCTCACCGTGAAGGACTTCACGGTGGCCGCCGCCACAGCTTGCCTCGACAGCCGCAGAGATCGCAGCCTGCGGCCACGCGCGCGAGTCGGCCGTCGACGACGACGGGCCTGGCACCGTAAACCTCATCGCCCCATCCCTGTGCACGTAATATCCGCCGCCGCCGCGCGAGCGGTCGAAGAGTCGAAAGGGCATTGCGTTTTTCATGTTCCTCATCCTCCTCTTCTTCCCCTCTTCCTCGTCCTTATCATCCTCTTTTCTCCTCCCCCTGATCAGTGGGCCCCATCCTGGATTCTAACTTATCTGGTGGCCATGCCCCCCACCAATCGCACCCCCCCCCCCCCCCCCCCCCCCCTCCCCCTCTCCCGTCTACCCCCCCCCCCCCCCCCCCCCCCCACCCTCCCCCCCCTCCCCCAGTTAGGCTTAGGCCTACCCCAGTCCCCCTCCCCCCCAAACCTCGGGATGAGCGGGATAAGCCGAAGGCTCGGGGAGAGGAGCCCCGACACTGAGGTGGACTGTCGGGCATCCCAGCTGCGCCCCGTCAGCGACTGAACCATGTTAGTGAGCTCAGCCATGAACGCTGGAGGAAGTCGATTGGAATCGGGGAGATGCTGATTCATAATCGAAATTGAGACGTGAGAAACTCTGCAAACTCTGCTAGCGCTGCTGTATTCGAGTCCGAATGGCTGCGGCGGGCGTCAGACATCGTGGACTCCAAACAGCGTTGTGCAACTGACATGCGTATGCTCGCGGGTGCGATATACAAGGGCGCGAGGGGCCGATGGGCCGATGGTCGCCTGGTCGCCTGTCCCGGGCTCGAAGGCCCACGATGCAAGCACTCGCTGTTGGGGCCGCTGTTGGGGCTTGCGCCGCTTGGGGCCACGCTGTCAATGCTGTCAGTGGGGCCGACCCTGGGGCCGACATTTCGCCGCTACGGCCCCGCGCCGAAGAATGGAGGGGAGGGGGGGGGGCTGCGCCGAGAAGAAGGCGGGCGAAACGGAACGGGGCCCGCAATGGCGAGAGCAGCACTCGGGCAGGCCAAGGGGCCAAGGGAGCAGGGGGGCAAGGGCATGGGGGCATGGCTAGGCGGATTGGCGACGACGACACGACGACGACGACGACAGATGCGGGGCACCTGCCAAACGCCGTTTTGAAAGTTTACACGCAACCGCCCACGCGGCAAGTCCCACGAGCTAGGGCCCCTAGGGCCTGGAATCGGCCCCCCTCTGATGTTTCTGATAACCAGCGTTTGGTTTCCCCCAGAAACCCACCCCCCCCATGGCCCATAGAGATATGAAGCCCGCCTTCAGGGAGTCGAGCAGCGCCTTCATCTCCGCGCTCGAGCTCGCGCTCACCACCGCGACCGAGCCCGAGGCGCCGCTGGTGCCGCCTGCGGCGCGGGGCGAGGGTGTTGGGAAGGGGGCGCGGGCGGCGACTCGACGACGGACGGGCGGACGGCGACGGACGGCAACACGAACCGCACGTGCAATATGGGCGCGGCTTTCAGGAGAGGCTCTGAAAGGACAATGGGGGAAGGAAGAGGGCGGATGCAGTTTCAGTGCCAAGTGAGAGGGTTGGTACCGCCTGCCTCAATATCGAGATGCAGTCCTACGCTCCTACGAACTGTCTCCCTAAATATCGATGCCGCCCCACGGCGTTACGGACGGGCCATCGACGCGATTGGTCGCCGATCTCGATATCGGCACGACTCGCCGCGATAACGGCAGCTGCAGCGGGCGTATATACACTCTGCAGATGGGCTCTGGCTCGAACGAAACGCACGAGCTCACGGGCCTCACGAGCTCGCGAGCTGACAAAAAGACAAGAAGTCCTGACAAACAAAATAGTCTGGCCGCCACGGCGCGGCGCGGCCTAGCCTAGGCGCGCCCGCGCCGACGAGCCGACGACAGCCGAGGGCCGACTAGTGCACTGGAGAGTGGAGTCCTCAATCCTGCCCCCTTCCCTTATTTACTGCGCCCCTCCCCTCCCCCATCCTACCTACCTCCGCACCTCGCCTCGAGGGGCGAGAGCCGCGGGCCGCCCTCAATCAGAGATGGCACTCAGAGGAGTCCGACACGAACGATTCGGACTTGCTCATGCCGCTCATGTCAGAGGAGGTCTCCAAAGACGACGGCTCCGACGGCGACTTCGGCGCCGCGGCGGGCTCCGCAGCGGGCCCCGCAGAGGGCGCTGCGTCTGGGTTGGCACCGCCGTTCGAGTCGTCGCCCTCTTCGGCCAACTCCGCGGCCGCAGCGTGCACCGCCGCGGCCTGCCTGAACCGCATGTAAGAGTCCCAGCCGTCGTGGTCGTCGATGTCCTGGCTGGAGGGCAGACTGACGGGGGCGCGCGTATCACAAAAGACCCACCAGGGCCCACTTGGCGATGGCCGCGATGGCCCCAAGGCGAGGGTCCCTAGAGGACCACGTTAGACCCCGAATGCACACACATATCTATATATGTATATATAACTATACATACAGATATATAATTTGAAACCTCGGGTTATATCCCACTGGGCCTTCCAGGTGACGTATCGGGCCCCTTGTGGGGCCATCTTGGGGCCCTGTTGGAACCATATCGGTGCATTTTAGGAAGCATATTCGGTACTCCCAGGCTCCCAGGAAGCGCGCCCAGATGGCCCCAAGAGGGCACCACATACGCTCTAGCGCTCTAGCGTGATAGGGCTGGGCGGGGGCCCTCTCGGGGACTCCTTGGAACCCTCGCGGTGCCATCTTGGAGGCCCCATTAGAATCGTCGCGGGGCAGCCTGTCTGGAGCCGCCTTGAGGGCATCTCTCAAGCCCGCCCCAGGGCACCCTGGGGGGCAGGAGAGGGAAAGGCGTTGCCCATACCCGAGCCCGAGAGTCCTTGAGGGTCCTCGAAATGCCACCGTGGCTGCGGTGGTCAAGAACCTGCTTATAAGGCAGGAGCCCGCTCGAGACCTCAGTCGGTTGCGGGGGGTGTGGGCGGGGGGGGGGGGGGGGGAAGGGGGGGGAAGGGGAGGGTGGGGAAAGGAATAAGGTGTTTTGAGTGGCCCCTCTTCGTCGCCGCGGCGGTCACCTCGGCAATTCGGCCCCCGATGGTCCTGTGTCTCATCCCCCCCCCCCCCCTCCCCCCCCCCCCCCCCCCCCCCTTCCCACCGCCGGCCCGTCAGGAGCCCGCCGCCTGGACCCCCACCCCCCTCCTGCCCGCCC